AAAGGAGACAATTTTAGAGAAGAAAATTTTTTGGTCACTACCCGGATTCGAACCCGGGACCTTTGAATGAGAGGCCAACACCTTAACCTCTAGGCCACGAGAGCCCCCCTGGGAAGGTTTAACACTTGTTGCCTTTTCTCTTCTGCATGCTAGTGTTTTCCCAAATAAATGAACTTGGGAGCCCTCAACTCTATCTCTCTCATATCACCTTGAAATTTTTTTTAAAGCCATACCTCCGTAGACCTCTGATGTGGAGGCCAGCAGCAGACGAGCTCGTACTCTCTTCGCCAGCCCTGAAAAAAAATAAAGACAAAGTCTGTAGACGATAAAAAGTTAGGCTCTCACACTCATAACCGTATGGTCGAGGGTTCAAATCTCATCAGAGGTCCGACGTTGTATCTTTAGGAAAGGCATTATACACAAATTTCTTCACTTCGCCTAGATGAGAATGAGTACCCAGCCAAAGACAGTTGGTTATAGTCAGAGCGCGTAATCAGCTGCTTGCACTGTATGTTTCCGGAGAAGCCGAGAATGTTTCTGAGAGGTCTAGAGTCAGCTGGGATAAAGATAATATCGTAAAGAACATAGAGTTTGCTGTCCAACAGGGATATGCATGCACTATACAAATGCCATTCATTATTATTATTATTATTATTATTATTATTATTATTATTATTGTTATTGTTATTATTATTATTATTACTATTATTGAAGGGGGGAAGCAAAGAAATAGGACCTACCAGAGGGGCGAGCAGTTAGACAAATACTACCGCAGAGAAAAGGAAAGAAATAGGACCTACCAGAGAGGGGCCCTCCAACCACCAACCCATGAGCCCCTGTAACATTAAGTGTAGCACAGGTCAGAGAGTCAGCTACTCACCCAGCATGTTGATGGTGCCCAGAGTGTTGGTCTTCAAGGTCTTGATGGGGTTGTACATGTAGTTGGGAGGGGAGGCCGGGGAGGCCAGGTGGTAGATCTGATCCACTGAGAGAGACACACAAAGACACATCATTGTACCATACAGAGACACATCATTGTACCACCCACAGACTCATCATTGTACCACACAAAGACACACAGAGACACATCATTGTACCACACAGAGACACATCATTGTACCACCCACAGACACATCATTGTACCACACAGAAACACATCATTGTACCACACAGAAACACATCATTGTACCACACAGAGACACATCATTGTACCACCCACATACTCATCATTGTACCACACAAAGACACACAGAGACACATCATTGTACCACACAGAGACACATCATTGTACCACCCACAGACACATCATTGTACCACACAGAAACACATCATTGTACCACACAGAAACACATCATTGTACCACACAGAGACACATCATTGTACCACCCACATACTCATCATTGTACCACACAAAGACACACAGAGACACATCATTGTACCACACAGAGACACATCATTGTACCACACAGAGACACACAAAGAGACACATCATTGTACTACACAGAGACACACCATTGTACCACCCACAGACACACCATTGTACCACCCACAGACACATCATTGTACCACACAGAGTCACAAAGACACATCATTCTGCCACACAGAGACATATCATTGTATGACACAAACAGCACTGCTGAATTAAGAAGACTCTGGCATCCACTGTAAGATACACAAAAAAACATAATAATCACACCACACACACATTCAACCC